AATTCGATATTCCTGCCAGAGAGAAGTTTTCCTCAATCGCAATAGAACTTTCTTCCCTCTACTGTAGTGTACTATGCTATGATTCTACACTCGAAGACACGAGCACTCTCGAGTTGGGAGCGAATTCTCGGTTTCCATTCAGATTGGGATCATACTCGAAGGAGACAAGAGACCTTGCTGGGGGCTATTCGGGGACATTTAACGCACAGTCATGGTTGGGTATATCGGCAAATAGACGCTCCGAGCACGCCTTTGTTGGGCTTGGCGTGAAATGAATGAACGGCGGCGGCGCCTTTGCTACTGTGGATGGAATACCTTGGCCTCGAGCTGCGCTGAAAGGAATCCCCGCGGAGATCAACAGGGCCAAGAGTTCTAATGAGCTTAATCAAACCCTGGAAGCAAACCCGTGCACTCCTTCTTCACCCGTGGGTCGGTGTCCACACGGGGCTTTATTAGCCTTTTTCACCTCGCACACCTGATGGATGATTTCCGCGCCGATCGCTCCCGGCCTGAATTCGTACGTGTCATCAATTAATTTCCGGCCTGTGAGCGTGTTATCGACTCGCGTCCAGAAGCCGCCGACGGACTCCCCTCGCTTAAACGAGAACTGGACCTTGAACCTTCGGCGAATCGGGAGACGAGGGATTAATTTTTCACGCGCGGGTCATCTCTCGCGATAATCTCAAGCTGTCCCGGGTTTCCTGAACCCCGGGTTCTTTGACTTCCGCGCTTCTCGTCAGCTCGGCCGACCTTTGACCGTCGAGATGAACGGCGTACAAGCTTTGCTCATTTGTCTGCCGTGTTGCTCGGAGTCTGGCACGCAAGTACCCCGGGCTTTCGTGGCGTCAGGGAAGCCCGGAAGTGGCGCCGTGTGCTAATTCACTCGTCCTGCGTGCGAGCCGCGGTTGTTGAAATTGATGTCTGAACGGGGTTTCACCTTTGGCCCGGGAACCTCAGTTACGGGAAATCCGATTGTCCACTCGTGTCGGGGCGCGGCACGCAACTTGACGAGCACGCATCCGGGGTTAACCAAAGGCTTTTAAGGAACCCAAACCTCCTGTTCATATTTTCGCGTGTTTTCCCGGTTTTTTGATGAATGAGCGAGAGAAACGTCTTCATCCCGGCCCCGGGAAGCCGGCCCGGAATAAATCAAAACGGATCGTCTCTCCCTGATGCTATAAATCCTGTCGGAATACGCATAAACTCGTGGCTCGTAGAACGAGTTCAAAAATTTAGTTAATTGGAAGATTATTAGGTTATGAATCATTATCCCTTCAACATCTATCCCTTCGCTAATTGCGACGTTGTCCTAGTGACATTCCCAGAGTTCAGCTACCTCATGCTGCTTTATTTGTGTTAGTCTCCGCAAATAGGTTACGTAGGTGGGTGCAGATCAACGATTCTTTTAAACGTTTACTTTTGCGTGCTATTCGATCCAATTAAAATATCTGATGCTTAAAAAAAAACAACGTCAAAGGGCCAGACGCGCTATGTGGCTCCATTCCGGTGGCTTTTTCTCTGATGGTTTAAATCGACTGGACTGATATTTGTAGTCTTCTATATGTGTATTAATTGGGTCAGATCGCCAGCACAGTTCAAGAATGTACCGTAAGTGTGTCAACTTCAGTGATTTTTCCTTTCGATTCACAAGCTGGAGTCATCTGAATTCCTTGAGAAGGCATCAGAAACATATTTACTTACACTGTAATCGAATCGCCTTCTCCTCGATTTATTTCTAAAGTACAGTGCTATATTTCACGAGCGTAACTCATAAGATGAGAAGCAATGCATCACTATTTCACATTTATTTCCGACACGTATCCCTTCTCGACTTTTTGAAGTTTCTTCTTGCTGGTTCCCTACTGAAGATTCGGAAAGTAACTCCATCACACTTTTTTCGGAAGAATGCTCGCAGCGAAATCAGTTTTCTGGGAAACTATCGAATGAAGGCAAAAATAGACTGTATAACAGAACATTCTTGGGAGAACTTGGTATATTTGTGCGCAGTATTCAACGTTTGAAGGAGCAGTGATTTCATTCAGCTTGGCCTTGGTCCACCGGTCCGTGGATCTCATTTGCAACGATTGATGAGGAATCCATTAAGCTAGTGGGAGAAGATCATTTCCTCTGTGCTGCACAGTCCAAACTGAGTTGAGGCAATTTCCCTTGAACGAATTCTTCGAGAAACAATAGCATCGAAGGGTATAATTTATATACTTTTTCCCGGTGCGACATAATTGCCAAAGTGGCCCAGACGAAATCGTTGCCGGGCAATTAAACTCGTATTTTCGTGATGAATTTCAAACGTTGGCAATTAAGAAAGTTGATGGCGGTCTATTCTCGGATCCGCGTGAAACGCCTCAACCTTTCTATGTGGGGCAAACGTCACATAATTCCGACGTTCTTCTCCTAAAATTTATAGCAATCGGGGTACTTTAATGAAGCTTCATTATGCTCGGACTAATGGTGCCAAGGTATATATGAAATGCATGTGTTAAATGAGGTCCATGTTTCAGGAAATTTCTATACGTGTCTTCCATAAATAATTGCAAAATGAGCGAACTTGAACGGAAGATGCCTTTGTAAGTGAATTGACGGAACCTGCGTATTTTGCGCAAGTTCGCCATAAAATTAAATTTCTATGAGACAAACTACGTGGCAATTTTCATCGGAAGATTCTAATGGGAATGATCGACCTTGAAAGTGGTGCGAATTTTTTCCCCTCTTTTTTGGCGACGATTTCCTCGCTCGATGCATGAATTGATTATTTTCCTCAAAAAGCCGATTATCATCCTCGAAGAAAACCGATTGTCCTCGAGAAGTCCAGATTGACTCGCTAAAATAATTGACTTCCAATATCCATCGGTTGAGCCACATGATCTGAAAGCGTAAGTTCCGATTAATCGTCGTTGTGGACCTTCAACGGCGACTTCGTCTTATTGGTACGCGAAAAAATTGTCAAATAAAATCCATAAAAAATCCCATGACCATTCCATCATCTGATACAGATGTACTGTACCTGTACTTTTAAAGCATTTCAGAGATGGTTTTCCAATTATCGTAGTTCAGGTCGTGCTTACGACTGAAATTAATGTCAAGGTTCGCTGTTGGGCACAGGATTATTTCTGTCGGGTGTTGATTTCCTTGGCATTCTGATAACTTGTGCTTCCATCGTGGCAGTAACGCATTTTTAAGGCACAAAATGATTAAAATTCCTGCTTTCGGCGTTTTTTTTTTCGGAAGGATCGGGGAAGTTTTCTAAGTCATTTGAATCTATAACTTTCAGACGTGATGAGTATCCTCGCATAATTCTCTGAAAAGAATGCAATTTCGCCTCTGCAGTCGAAGACCGCCCCGTGCGTGATTAGTCAGGCTGAGTTCTCTTCGGAGCTGAAGGACGAGGGCCAGACCAAGTGATCGTACCTGGAAGCATTTTTCGGACGTTGTGACGCAATGGTGTCCGAGACCTTCTTGGTTCGGTGTCGAGTTCCAGGGATTCCTTTGTCATCCGTGTTGTCAAATGAGTGAAGCAGAGCAGCCAGGAAGGAATTCTTTCGGGGAGTCTCGGTTGCGATGTCCCACTGGGGACCACAGCGGGTCGGAGAATAAATACGCGACGACCCATCGCGGTCTCATTATTTGCATTCGAGTCAACATGCTGGGATAATCGATTTCCTTCACTGTGATACTAAAATATGCGACGGATGACGGTTGGGATTCCTCTTTCGGGTCCTAGTCCCGGCGAGAATCCCGGGGTAAACAAGGTGATACATTGGCGTATTTTGGAAATGGTGCGCTTTGTGTGGGCCTGGTTCGCGGTTCTCGAGCAAAAGACGATTTCACGCGGAAATGCAGCGCATGCATGGTAACTTGATCGACGTGTTCCTGTAGGGTCGAAATTCTAAGGCGCCGCGCTCTGTTTTGCTCTTCATCCGCGATGATGGTGCTGATGGACGCTCGAAATTCGAGCCGCCTTTGATTCTATCTGCTCTTCCACGAAGGCCGATCAAGAAGTGTTTGCCGTAATTTTGATCAGGAATTCGATGCCAATGCGGTTTGGACCAAGGCACCTCGCTGAAACGACTCCAGATTTCCGAAGAAGTGTTCATGAAAATTAGATGACCCTGAAGGGCAAACATGAAACAACCCTTATTTGCGCTGCCGTATGCAGCACTGATTATTTCCGAAATCATTACCATGATACTCCTCGAAACTTGGTTGCGGCCTATGCTTATATATTTGATTATAATATTGGCAGATCCACGCTCTTCTTGTATGCGACCTATACACGAGATTATGTAAGGCTGTAACTGTAAGAAGCAGATTAAAATTTCAAGGACAATCAGTACATTTTCCCGATGCATTGGCAACATTAAAAAAATATAATCCTCTCTATATATGCAGGACTCATACCGTTTATCCCCACGAATTACTGTCCTAAAGCGTGATGCCGCCTTAATTCGCATTAATTTTACATTCAGACGCAGAAACCCTGAATGCTTTTCCTTTCATGTTTTCTTGGAAAATCAAAGGCTTAATGAGGATTAAGACGAGGTGCAGTACTTGAATGGAGAAACGCGTGTAAGGATGACTTGTACGATTAAAACTCTATTTGCGCACGGAAATTGCATTTGCGATTATCTGTTAGAATGAGATTTCGGTGAAGTGATTCAAACTCCGTGTTGCTGAATTGCTAATATGGAGTAGCTATTTAGTTCTCGACGACAATGCAGTCAGCGGAACCGTGGGAAATACTAGCGGCATTCGATATGTTGTCCTGTAATGGAATTACGTTCGCATTCCTAGCGGATAGTACTGTACCTTGAATTCGGATACAGCGATTGGTTGTGTAGGGAAAGTGCTTTTCCACCGCGCGTCTGTCGGCAAAAACTTGCCGATTTACCCCCGTGAAAAAAAAATTCTCCCTTTTTCGTGTGTGCGGTGCAGTTCGTAATGAAGCGCTCTCATTTCACGCCCCACATGTTTTCCTGTCTTTTCAGTCCGGCCGTATGAAGTGAAGATCCTGGGAAGCAGGAACGCTGCGTTGTCGGCTGACCAATCGTACCCGATCGACTGCCAAGCTGTCGGTTCCTGGCCGCCGGCCGTGATAACCTGGTGGAAAAACGGGATCCGGCTCAACAACACGGAAGAAGTGGTGAGTTATCTCGTGCGATTTCCTCTTCTCCTCCCCGAACGCCGCAGTGAATGGACCCGTTGAAAAGAGCCTCTCATTTTCCCCCACGATGCATCTGTGAGGAGCATCTCACTTGCTCCACATACGCATTTTGCATGCGAGCTGGACGGCGAGGAGGGTGTGAGGCGTGAGAACGTTCGTGAATGTTTTAGGACCCCATCGCGGACCGGATCCAATTGCCCCGTCGCGGGATCGGTCCTCGGTAAATTCTCTGCAGTACTTGCCGCGGGGAGCTGCGAATGACCGAAACGTGAGTCATGAGCAGGCTCAAAAATCCCTGGTTGATCTCCGGGGAGAATTGCCGCCACAGCGCGTGGTTGATCAGTTACACACGTGGGTATTGCGGAAGCGGGTGCGAGTGAACGAGGTGCCTCGTGTTGCCACACCCAAGTCGGGACTCGGAAGTAGCCAGCAGGGCTGAAACATATCGCCGGATGAACGTGATCAGAACCGGAAAACGACTCACCTCATGCTGAAACTCGCCAGGAATGCAAAGATGAGACGGCCTTCGCTTTTCAGATCTTTATTTTTTCATTGTAGTGTACTACTGTACGGCATGTTCGTTCGGTGCATTTCCGTTTGGAATGCCGTGTCGTACGAGCGTGTTGAGGCTTTATTTACGGTATTTAATAAATCCGCGCGTCCCCGAATTTCCGGAACAGATGCGCAATGCGAACGAGTCCTGATCTCGGAAGTCATGTTGAACTCGTTGAAAATAAGCGATATACGAGACCCCGTAATTTGTTCAAGCGCATTAATTTACGAGTCAGCGCTTTTTTCCTTCATTGAGTTTTGGTGGATGTATGGAGATGGACATCTTTATCAAGTAACGCGTTTTGTTTCCTGTCATTTCTTGCTCATGAAATGAAGAAATTGCAGAGTATTCGGAGTGGACCCTAAATCTGTGGGGGGAAAGGTTTAATTTTTTCATTGATGCTAGAAGCAAGTGCTACTTTAAACTTTCGTTTGGTGAGCTTGAAGTTGTCCTCGTTTGTCTGCAATTGAAAGACGTTTTCAGGAAATGGACTGGGCTATAGCAAAGATCTTTTTAATGGTCTCTGTAAAATTTTGGTCTCAGTTTAAGCGCAGATTTTTTTTCATAAGGCCCTTTTTAATACAGTAAATATTGTGCCAAATGAAGGGGCACTGGGATCTGGGAATTATCCTTACCGTTTTATGAATCGGCGTTAAGATGATGAGAACAGCGGTGGCCAGCGAACCAGAAGAGTTGAAACAAAAAGAGCTATTCTGACGAATTAGTTGAATGACCCAAGCCTCAGCGGACTAATGATAATTTGGTGGAACAATTCTGGTAATCGCGGCAAGACTTCATATCTTGACTTGTGACAGTAATTTCTTATCTGACAGTGGACGGTTATTGTCTGAATTGAGAAATCGAAAAGTTGAACTTTTGTTCCGTGGAAAGTACGGAGGACTTTTTTAAAATCCTGGGTCGAGCCTTCCATGAACCAGATTCCTTGCCATGCCTTACAAGTGGTATTTGCTTGACTTTTATCTTTATGAGTCTTTGAAAACGAGATTGATTCGATGTCATGAGTCAGTAGTTAATGACACGAACCATTACTGTATATATGCATACTTTATTCAAGTACCGTACCGCATATAGAAAAGAATTAGCTTCCGTTATAGATCGTTGGAAATTTGCTTTTCTGCACGAACCGAAGCTCAGGGACTGCTGTTCAGCATATACAGTATCACTGTTCAGAAAAGTCTGCAAGTTTTATCATTCTTGCTTCGCACCAATGTAATAATTATTGATACTGTAGTAGTTTTTTTTATGCGAAGGGTCCAATAAAATTTAAAATTTGGACACAGCTGTTGAGTGTCTGAATCTGTGTGATCGAGCGATTATCTTCTAGTTTTACCCAGAGACGTGCGTATGTTCCCCTGTTAGACACCTGCTACAGTACCAGAATAAACTTTGAACGCTTGAAACACTTGACCATCTGGTACATATTAACATAATGTCTGGAAAGGCTTCCGCGTATAATGCTCCTCAATTACTTGGGCGAACCTGTGCCATGGTCTCACATCTCATCAATGTCAGTTTAGTTCGGAAGGCTATTAGTGAGAGTGCAAGTGCTAATTGACAGAAATACAATTCTATATACTCTTTTAGGTCTCAGATTGGTTTGGGATACTGTATTCTGAAAATAAGATGCCTGAACGACTTCGGTTTAAATTACGGTACCGACGAAACATATGGTCCATCCCCTCATTCGTTTTGTAATGTTTCTCGCAAACTTCGCGTCTTGTCAGTGGCCGTTTTACTGCGAAAGTCGGAGCCCCTTTTCTGGCTTTTGTCCCTCTCACTTCCCTATATCAGAAGTCTGCTGGTCCGACGCGGGTATGGACTGGGGATTTTTGAAACGATTCGTCTACTGCCGCTTGCGTAACTTTCGATCAGTTTGCTAATTCGTGCGGGAGGCATTGTCCGACGCTGGTTACCTTATTAAAATTTTCGCTCAGCCACCGGCATTTGAATACCGAGCTGAGCTGGACATGCTGCGTGTCTGCGACGGAGACTCGGTCGGCTTTCATGAATGATTTCGGTGGCGTTCATGGCGGAGAGCAGGGCCTGCGGAAGAGACGCGGTTCTGATTAATGCACCCGCGGGAAAGCCTTCCGCGTGAAAGGGATCGGCTGCCGCAGAGGAATACTGTATTGTAAAATTTGCGGTCCAGCGCCGTCAACAGCGAGGCCCGGGGTGGAAAATCACGACGTAACAACCCAGCTCCCTCCTGCGCGGTCGACCTTAAGTTTGCTCCCTGAACGCGGGGCGCTGTAAATCACCCTGCTTGCGGCTGTGTACATACGGAACCCCGCTGGGTCGTCGGCGAGCATCTTCAACTGGTTTCACTCCACCGCCGAGAGTTTGCCTTATCGATTCAAGTAAAAGTCTCGTCGGGTTAGCGCGGCGAGAATCTCGCTGCGACTACCAATGGTCGCCGGCGCCTCGTCGGTTACCCCGTTGACTCGTTGCCGGAGTCTGAATAATAGAAACCAGCCAGTACTCCCGCGGATCCGTTGGCTTCTTTATGGTTAACCACGGACTCATCGTTTCCAGCTCCTTTTATTGCTACCGGGGAACGTCTTCCTCGACGACGTGCTTCCCTTTTATTTTGCTTATCTTCGAAGTACAGTACAGTAATTCCTTCTCCGTCTCTGCCCGACCGGGAAAGCTCCACGGAGCTGCCGTTACATGTGCCTCCTGCATTGACTTCAGTTTCAGCTTTCCCGCAGTTTTCTCGGAGACTATTTAATTATATATTTATTTACCTTTATTTTTGTTGACTCAATACACTGCTGCACTATTCGACAGGGGGTTTAGTGTCATTCCGGATAAATGTTTCACTTTTTCGACGATATCGAACGAAACTACGACTATTCCTGGCCACAGTTGTACTTACTCAACTGGAATAAATACTCAACTGTAAATACTCAACTGGATACGAGTCAGTCTGCATTTGAATTTCGTGGAATCGAGAAGGTTTACCGCCAATAATTAGATTTTGGCAGTCTGGAACAGCTGGATATTGATACATTATGCAACACGTATTTCAACTCAATTTCAGCTTATACTGTACTGTCCCCTATATCAGTTTCCACATTGTTTTGTAAGCTAGGGTACCTCAGTGCGTCGCTATTCGTTGTTGTTGAAAATTATCAGTGTACCGTAATTTTGTGAAAGTACTGAGGAGAGATCGGGGAATTTCCCTGGAATAATTTCGTTTGGATTTCGCACTCAGTCCACTTCGAAACGCGTTATGCTATCCCTGTACGCAAAAAAAAAGCAATGAGTAGAAAGCCATTGAATGATTCGACAGCCTCTATTTATTCATTTTTCTTTTGGAAGACAAAGAAAGTGCCTCACGCTTCAGCTCATTTGTGTTACAATTTTATCGCTTCTCATCGCCGCAGAAGTCTTGCCTTGCATCACTTCAGACTGGAAATAAAAAAAACTCTCTCTTGCGTCGAATGTAGAAAGGTTTTGTGGAATTCTGTCGTTCAAGGTACCGGAGATTCTCCTGGGATATTACTTCCTGATCGACGTGGAAACTTTTTCAGTACGAAACGAATGCAGCGATGGGTATTGTTGTAACATCGTCTGCTCGCCAAAATACAATACCCGGCAGCTGACGTGATGAGCATTGAAAAGTGACAGACTGCATTTGGTTTCCCTGGTGGAAGTGGGCTGGGCAAAGATGAGTCAATGCCAATCAAGAGCATTCTATCTACCGCGTGTCCTTGCAACGTCGTGAGGCTTTTGGGTTGAAAATGTCCGCAAGAATTTTGTTTGAAAGTGGAGTACCGCGGACCAATGATCGCTGAGCGTTTGTTGTTCATGACAATCGACGTCCAGTTCAGCACCCCCGGGAAAACAGTTTTGCTTCCCCGTTTATTTCATTCATCAGCGAGGTATTATAATACTTAATCTTGACATTGAAAGTTATTTTTAGACCGCGTTAATTTTAATGTGTAAAGAAATTTAATGCTGTGATTTGAAGTGCCTCTAAGCTATGTGGCTGTATGTTTAACTCTGCAATGCTCTGACTCTCTAGTGATATCCCTTGACTTGGATTTCCCTTGATAGTGATATCCCTTGACTCATCCCTTGACATTCCAAGATCACAAGTCCACTCACCAAATTAACGCATTTAATTTGGCTGAAAAAAAATCATTGACCCGTAAGCTTTGGAAATGGAATGGAAGCTCTTTTTATACGACAATAAAAGTTCATCGTGCTGAACAATTGTTTTATGATTTAGAAAATGCAAAGTCTCGTCGTGATTAAATCAACTCGTAACCACGAAGGCACATATATTCTGAAGTTCCGAATCGGGGACGTGATCCAGTTGAATCCGTCGGCGTTCCTCGTATTTCTCCTAATATTTTCCACTTCTTCAAACGCATGAAACCCATTATTTCCCTCTGAGGAG